TTTTTTTTTTCTTTCTTTCTTTTTTACCTGCAAGATGCAAGCAATGAACTAGATCAGTGGCTCAAGGACCAATCTGGAGAAAGGGAAGTGAAGCAAAACAACTCTCTTTTTACCAATTTTCTTAGGTTTTCAAAGAAATCATTTGAATGGATTTTACTAAAACAAAACAAAAAAGTTTTATCTCAATTCCTTGCTGTGTGTTCACAACAAGAAATGAAAGAACAGGTAAATTTTCAGCAGACTTTTTGAAAAAAATCTCTCTCTCGGTTTTTCTTCTTCTTCTTTTTTTTACCTTGCATCCTTCACAAGCATGAACTCCATAGTGGAACCCAGAAGCTTTATCTCCACAGACTCGGCATTCAATTGCCATGAGGGAATTGGAAGGCTCTTCATGAGGCTTATTGTACAGCTGAGTCTTTTCAGAATAATAAGGTGGGGATGCAGGCTCCACTTTGATTGCACCTGTGTGCAGAGAAATGTGAGGAGATAATTATCACATGAAAAACTGCTGAAAAAGCTCTATGGCAAGTCGCCATAGTACACCTTACTGCCATAGATTTATTATGTAAGTGTAGAAGCATTATGGAACATGAAAAACAACAACAACACAGGAGAAAGTAGGCTTTGTAACTATAGGCAAGTCACAACACCTCTGAGCCTCACCTGTAAAAATGAAAGGGGGAAGGGAATTAAGTCTGTGGTCTGTGACCCTTCAGAACCAAAGCTCAGAATGACACCCCACAGTATCTGAGACAATTTAGGTTATTTTGCTACACAACGTGCTGTATTTGGCATTCATCACAATATTAACTTATATATTTGTATTTAAATACCGCATTTTAGAAGTATTCTTAAACCACTCTTGGAAAAGAAACACAGAAGGAACACCACTATGAAAAGGTAATGTCATGCCCAGCTTGAAGGTACATGAGAAACAAGAGACCAGGTTTTCAGCAGTGTTGAGTCAGAAAAGGTGGTTTGTAAAATAATCTTTGAGAGAGAGAGTGAGAGAACCCATGGAGAGTAAGTACTCCCCTTCTGCTGGTTAGGATCAGGCCTATTAAATTTCCATATTAGGCTCTAACTGAAAACCACACAAATATAACCAAGTATATTATTTATCTCAAAAAAAAAACTAGAAATACAGGAAGTTCTTACTTATTGTCAAGTAATGGTTGCCAATTACATGGTGGTGGCTTTGGAAAACCAGCATATCAGCACACAAAGATAAGAATCAAGGAAATAGCATCATAGAAATTTATTTTATCTTGAAAAGTACCGTTTTGGTTTATCTTGACTCTGATGTTTTGATGTGAATTTACTTAATGGCAGGAAGATTTATCAATAGACTACAATGGTAAAATTTAAATTTGTGCAGAAAAATAGGTTTCAGTATAAGCTGCTCAAATAGCAGAATTAGGGAAAATGAACCACAAATTTGCAATTTGGTGATGAGAAGTTATGTAAGGTACAAATTATTACTTATTAACTTAAAAGTGACCAAAAGAATAAGAGTTTATACACACACACACACACACACACACACACACGATAAACCTGGCAATGCAGCCATGCTGGGAAATGCTCCTAAGAAGGAAAGAAAGAAGAAATAGGAAAAGGAAGAGGAAAGAAAATGAGGGAGAAAAAAGAAAGAATGATTTGGGGTATTTACACACTAACATCCTTTTTGGTATATCATAAATACACAATGTTTCATAGGTAAATGGATGAGTAAATGAATGGTAAGTATCTTTTTTATAGAGTTTTAGTCTCTGGAGCATTATTCCAGTGCTATCGAGAGGTTAGTCCGATTTTAGTCTTAGCAGTGTGACAAGTGAAAATAACTATCGTACTTTGGTACTCTTGGAGCTTCAGGTCATACTTATAATCAGCAATCGTTGGGTCTGCTCTTGCAAATGGAATGTCTTCGTAGTGTGGAGTGGAAATGCTGGAGAAATCCACAGTGGTGAAAGGTTTGATGTCAAAAGAATGGGAGTGGTCATCCATAACAGAGAGATCCACAGAGCTGATTCCAAAGTTGGTGGGCCAAAATGGCATCTCGGTGTCAACCATGGTAATTTCTGAAATGGAAAAAAAAGAAAAGCTGTGGAGTTCATTCTGGAAAGCAGAACGATCTTCTAACAATACACAAGGAGGGAACTGAAAGGGTCTTTGGTGCTGTGCTCTCATCTGGATTATCACAATGAGAGAGAAAAACACAACCACCTCCTGAGTGCTGCCCAGGCTGTTTTACTAAAGGAAGGAAGCCACCCCTTACCTGGATAGCATGGCAGAGAACCTTGTAATAGTTATCAATGTGGTCAGTGTACCCAAGGGAATGTCCCGCAAATAGCCCTGCTTTCATGATCTCCTAAAGAAGATCATTATATCAGGTCTGTTAACGGTTTTTAAAATTAATCAATTAACCAATTAACTAATTTCTTTAGTTAGGTAATAATTTTTAAAGAGCATAAAGTTCTGGGACAATTTTGCTTCCTTGGAATTAGAGATGCTAAATATTTTTCTCTTTAGGATAAAAATTTTGCTCCCCTATTTGTATTTATAATGGTTTTATGGGACAGAAAATTTGGCATATTAAGTTTAGGTAAAAATGTATTCTTTAACTGCATTATAAGGATAATTTTATTCTTAAAGTAACACAAAAATGAATCTTTTTAAAGAAGAGACAATCCCTCTATGAAAACTTGCTCCAATATATACCTTTTCTCTGCATACAGTTTTCCTTAAAAAGGAGAATGTGTTCTCCATCTTGAGAACAGAAAGGTTAGAGATAGTGGAAACATATCTGATCATGAATGAGAGAAAGTCAAAATGACAATCCACACAGCATTAATTAAACCACCCTCACACCAAGACCACAATGAAACAAAAATGGAAACAAGAAAACGTATGAAAGACAAGGGGAGGGTGTTAGGGGGTTGGGTGAGCCTGGTGATGGGTATTATGGAGGGCACATAGAGCATGGAGCACTGGGTGTAGTGCATAAACAATGAATTTTGGAGCACTGAAAAGAAATAAAATAAAATAAAATGAAAAAAAAAAAAAAAGACAAAGGTAAAAACACATGGATTCCAAGGCCACAAAATAACTTGTTTCATGCATTGCCTGCTTAGGATGACACATGCCATGTGTGTTTTTCAGTATATGATTTGTGGTCACAGTCAGTGAAATAGAACCCTGAGGAATTTTAGTTCTAACTATTTAATGTGGATGTGTGAGCCACCAGAGGCTGTGGACATTAAACCTTTGTGCCCTAGGAACCTACATGGGTACTTAGTGATGTAGACATTCAGACATGTGAACACACATGGTGCCTCACGGGTCCTTGGTTCTCCTGAAACCAGTTCATTCTTCAAAGTGGTATGAAAAGAGCAGTCACTGAGTATTTTAAGTGGTAACTCTTAGATCAAAAACATGAGCAAAGGGCTGTGTGAGTTCAGGACTGCTAATATTGGAGACAAAGAAATGAAACACTCATAAAACTCTAGAAGCTCCTGAAATCATAGGCTGATTTATCTTATTCCTAGTTATTTCGCTATCACCTAGCAACGGGCTTGGCTCACAGTAGGTGCGCGTATGAAATACCGAATGAGATGATGAGGCAGCTCTGAAAGTTTAGCAGAACAGGCAGGAAGAGGGGAAGCAAATTAGTATTTACTGAAGTACCCCCCAACACAAGACACATTCTCTTATTCCATATAACCCAAGATCTTATCTCCACTTTATAGATAAGCCAGGACCAGAGAGGTTAAGTGACTTGCCCAGTGTCCAATAGCTGGTAAACAGAGAATTCAAACTCAAGATTGACCCAGGACCCTATTCATTGTGTATATATTCTCTTTATTCTCGCTGATGAAACTGTTTTATGGAGAAAGGGCTACTCTCCTAGGGGTATCTGTCAGTGGGCCTCTTGTTTTTTCCCAGCAAGCAGAGAGCTAAGGAATTTATTCTCAAAGGCATGAGGTTAAAAATTCCAGTTGTGGTCTTCATAAGGAAAACAAAGTGAAAACACAAATAAGGAGACTGTCCTATGAATGTGCTTCAGGGGTTCCGAGGGGACTCATTAAGGCACCGTTTGGGTTCACATGTCTGAATATCTACACGAATAAGTACCCAAACAAACTTAAGTTATCTGAGTCACAGTATAAACACAACACACAAGAGGAGGAATGTGTACTGGTGATAGCTTAAAGATCATGCTGGGTCTCAATGACACCCAGAAAAACATCTGTGCCTTTAATGATGGGGAACCCATCAAACTATGCCCTTCACTTCACAATTCTTCTAAACCTAACTCACCCAGGTCCCTTCACTTACTCTGCCCACCTCCTCAGCATGCTTATTTTACATTTCTTTATCTACTCTGCTCGGTATAAATTACCAGCATATCAAAATAATCTCTTTTGTCTTGACTGCAATTTCCACAAAACTGGGCTTATCAACTATTTCTCATTATGCCTGTTGCAAAGTTCATCTGTAAGCAAAATAAAGCTTGCCTGAGTTAAAGGTAGTGGACAAGCCACCGAATGAATACTGGGAAATGAAAATGAGGATGCAAAAAAATATCTGTGTTGCAAGAAAAACTGGTTGCTCATCATTTTGCTGTTTTAATTTTGTTTTGTTTCACTTTTAATATACGACTTCAATGACTCCCTGTCAACCAAAGCCCATGCTTCTACAGAAATCACCCCGAGGGGTCATTTACTTGACTGCAAAGTTTTGGAAGAAAATTTTAGTGTTAAAATAGCCATCTGTGTGTAAATGAACAGAATAAAAAATCATGTGATTTTAAAGATTTAATATGGAACTCCCTAAAAAATTGGTACCTGTGGTACATTTCATAGCTAAAAGAATGCTATTTAAAAAAATTTTATTTTCATTTATTTGTTTTTAAAGATTTTATGTTTTTAAAGTAATCTGTACACCCAGTGTGGGGCTCAAACTTATAACTCTGAGATCAAGAGTTCTTTCCAGCTCTACTGACTGAGACAGCTAGGTATCCCTATACCTCATTTTTATTTTACTTTTTAAAAGTAGGCTCCACACCCAGCATGGAGCCCAGCATGGAACTTGAATTCACAACAGTGAGATCAAGATGGGAGCTGAGATCAGGAGTCAATCCTTAACCAACTGAGCTACCCAGGCGCCCCCTAGACTTTATTTCTAAAAGCAGTTTTAGGTTTACATAAAAGTTGAGCAGAAGTACAGAGTTCCCATTTATTCTTTTCCTCTCCTTCCTTTCCCTGACCCCTGAAACACACACAATTTCCCCTATTATTAACTTGCATTTCTCCTATTATTAACACTTGCGTTAGCCTGTTATGCTTGTTACAAAATTGTGAACCAATATTGATACATAATTATTATCCATAATTTGCATTCCAGTTCATTCTCTGTGTTGTACATTCTATGGTATTGACAAATGCATAATGTCATGTATCCACCATTACAAAATCATGCAGAAAAACTTCACTGCCCTAAACATCCCCTGTGCTCTACCTATTCATCCCTCCCTCTTCCCCATCCCAACCCCCGCCCCCGGGCCCCAGAATGCTGTCCTCTTCTATTAAGGGCATATTCGTTGAAAAGCAGGAGGGGCGCCTGGGTGGCTCAGTGGATTGATCCTCTGCCTTCCGCTCAGGTCATGATCTCAGGGTCCTGGGATCAAGCCCCGCATCAGGCTCTCTACTCAGCAGGGAGTCTGCTTCCCCCTCTCTCTCTGCCTGCCTCTCTGCCTCCTTGTGATCTCTGTCAAATAAATAAATTAAATCTTTAAAAATAAAGAAAAGCAGGAGAAACCTTGACCTTTATATATTACATACACACACACACACACACACACACACACACACACATGAAATGTCTTACCTTGGCTTTCAGGGCCCTCCCTGACACAGTCCTAACTTACTTTCTCAGTCTTATTTTCCACTAGTGATCGCAGACCCCAATCTCATTCTTAGCATGCCCTGTGGTTAGGCATATCATACTATTTGCCCAGGTTAAACATGCTCTGCATTTTCTAGTCTGCTTATCTTTATTCATGCCAAGGCTGCTCTATCTCCTCCCTCTTCCTACCTCCCGCATCGCTATATGTCACAATCCCTCTGTCTTTCCCACAGTGGGAAATCCCACTGTTTCCAAATGCTACTTTCTCCAGGAAACCTTCTGTGAAGTCTCCAACTTAAAAATATTCTCCCCATTCTTGGCGGGATATCCCCACAGCTCTTTGTACCTCTCTTTTAACTCTGATAGAATTATTTGGATAAATATCTCTGTTATCAGATTTCAAGCTCTAAATGGATGGTGACTTAGTATTCTGTTTTTCCTTTAGTCTTCATGCACAGCTGGTCATTTATTAAATGTTTACCAACTGAATGATCATTCATTTTTATGTGAAAATAAAAAAAAAAAATAGGGGCGCCTGGCTGGCTCAGTTGGTGGAGTGTGTGACTCTTGATTTCAGGATTGTGGGTTCTAGACCCACATTGGGTGTAGAGATTACTTTAAAAGTAAATAAAAATTAAAACAGGGGTGCCTGGTGGCTCAGCTGGTTAAGTGTCTGACTCTTGGTCTCAGCTCAGGTCATGATCTCGGGGTCATGGGACAGACTCCAGAGTTGAGATCTGTGCTGGGCGTGGAGTCTGCTCAAGAATCTCTCTCTTCTCCTTCCCTCTCTCTCTGCCCTTCCCCACCCATGCTCACTTTCTAAAATAAATAAATAAGTCTTTTAAAAAAATTAAATAAGAAAGGAAACATGCAGAAAAACATTTATAAAAATAAAAGGGAAAAAATGAAGATACTTTCTCAATAGTTTAGTTTAGTTTTTTTTTTTTTTTTTAAAGATTTTATTTGTTTATTTGACAGAGATCACAAGTAGGCAAAGAGGCAGGCAGAGAGGGAGGAAGGGAAGCAGGCTCCCTGCTGAGCTGGGAACCTGATGCGGGGCTTGATTCCAGGACCCTGGAACCCTGATCTGAGCCGAAGGCAGAGGCTTTAACCCACTGAGTCAACCAGGCACCCCTTAATAGCTTAGTTTTGCTAAGACTTATCTTCCCTTAGA